TACTACTCTGTAGTGGCAAAGAACTAGAAACTAAGGTGGGGCCCATCAACTGGGGAAGTGATAGAAATATTATGGCATATGAATGTAATTAAATATTGTTATGCTATAAAAAGGGATGAAAGGGATGGTTTCAGAGAAAACTGAGGCAAAGTGAAGTGAGCAGGAGAATGTGTATACAATTACAACATAATGAAGATAAATGACTGTGAAAGACTCAGGAATTCTGATCAATGCAATGGTCACCCATGATTCCAGAGGACTGATGGTGAAGTAGGCTACTCTGCTCTTGACAGAGAGGGGATGGACTCCGGATATAGAATGAGACATATATTTTTTGGACAATGGTGAATATGGGAACTTATTTTGCTTGACTGTGCATATTTATTACAAGAGTTTTGTCTCTCTTTTCAGTGGGAAAGGGGCAGTGGGAGGGAGAAAAAAATAAATTTTTGTTAATTGAAAATAATAAAATTAAGTTAAAAAAACATGCAAGCAAAGAGACAGTGTGGTACAGCGAACAGAGAGTTGGCCTTAAAACCAGGAAGGCTTAGATTCAAATTCTGCTTTTGACACATCCTGGCTGTGTGACCTTGGGCAGATCATTAAACCTCTCAATGCCCTAAGCACCTCTCTAAGATTCTAAGTGTCGGAGAAGGTGCCAACCTGTATCAGTGGAGTTTTCCCATCTAGGGGGTCCCTGTACTAATGATATCAGAGGTTCAGCCCCTGCCCCTATTCCTATGTAAACAAAAAAGGATTACAGTAAACTTTATATAACACAAAAGTTTCCCCTGCTTAGAAAAAAGATCTCCTAAAATGAGAGTTGCCTATTCAGCCTCAGTACATATAACTGTTGTTCAGTCATTTTCAGTTGTGTCCTATCTCTTCAAGATCCCAGTTGGGGTTTTCTTAGCAGAGATACTGAAGTGGTTTGCCATTTCCTTCTCCAGCCCATTTTACAAATGAGGCAACTGAGGCAAACAGGGTGAAGTGACTTGCTCATTGTCACACAGCTCCTAAGTGTCTGAGGCCTGATTTGAACTCAGGAACAATATGTCATCATAACAGCAACAATAGTAACGATAATGATCATAATGTCTTGGTCTGTCATTTGGCCTCATTTCTGCAAGTAGACAATTACACATCAACAGCAGCTTGAACCCCAAGATGGGTCATAGCAGATACATTGAGGTGCTAGATGTTGAAGAAAGGTCTCCTAAAGCAGACTTGTAGCTAGGGAGATGCGTGACTCAGTTTCCCCTTCTGTTAAATGAGGGGGTTGGACAAGATCACCCCTAAGGTCCCTTCCAGCTCTTAAGATGTAATCGTTTCAATTCTCTGAGCCTGAGTTGCCTCATCTGAAAATTAGGGCTAATTAATAGTAAATTTTTTTTTTAAACTTAATTTCAAGTAGGCCTGTAGAGCATGACCACTTGCCTCACAATTATACTGTGCAAGTAAAAGTTGCTGCAGCTGGGGTTGGATCAATTACTCAATGGAACTGAAGCTGAATGTAATTAATCACTTAATTACATCTATATGGCCTGAGCCCATAGTATGTGGGTATCGAAAAACAAAATTTGAATTCCCCTAGTCAAGGGTGTGGCCAGGGAGGAGATAAGTACCTGGGGAAGGAGTAACTCCACATTTGTGCATGGAAACCCTTGGTCCCAGGATCATGGGATTTCAAGGTCAAAGTGATCTTAGAAGAAAGGGAATCACCAACTATCAAAGCTGGAAGACATCTCAGAGCCCAGCTCTGATCTGAACAAGAATCTCTGATACCAGCCCCCCAGTAGCGGTCCTCCAGCCTTTGCTGGAAGAATCCTGATGACGGGGAACTCATTACCTTGCCAGGCAGCACACACTGTTTGTGGATGGCTCTCTTAGGAAGTTTTCCAATACACTGAATTTAAATCTGCCTCTGAAACTTCCAGATGCTTTTCTTGGTTCTGCCCTCTAAGGCCAAGGAGAAGAAATCTGATCCCTCTTCCACAGGGCAGCCCTTCAAATGTTTGAAGACAGTTACCATGTCACCCCCCAAAAATCTTCTCTTCTCCAAAGTAAACATCCCCAGGCCTTCTAACTCAGGGTTTCTAACCTGGGGTCTGTGAACTTGGTTTTTCTAAAAAATATTTTGATAACTGTATGTAGAATAATTGGTTTCCTTTGTAATTCTATGTGTTTCATTGTATGCATTTAAAAGCAATATTTTGGAGAAGGGACTCACAGACTTCACCAGAATACCAAGAAACCTCTGCCCTGATTCATGTATGGAATGATCTCAACACCCTTCACCATTTTAATTACTCTCTTCTGTTCATTCTCTACCTAAAAAGGGGTCCCAGAAGTTATCACAAGCCTTCTGACGTGATCTGACAAGGGCAGAATACAGTGGGGATCTAACCTTTCTAGAACAGCTTAGCACAGTTCCTGGCACATAGTGGGTGCTTAATAAATGTTTAGTGATTGATCAGGATACAATGCCACTGGATGTATTCTAAGATTGAATGAGCTTGTGTGGCTGCCATGACCTCATATGGAACTTGCAGTCCACTAAGACTCCTGGATCTTTTTCACACACACTGTTTTCTAACCATGCCCTTCACCCCTATCTTGCACTTGTGAAGCTGATTTTTTGAACCCTAGTATATCAATCTCTTTTCAATTTTATCGCATTAGATTTGGCCCACCAAATGAGTTGGATGAGACGTATTTAGGTCCTGATTCTGTTGTCTAATATGTTAGCTATCTCCCCCATCACTGTGTTATCCCCAAATTTGGTAAGCATGCCATTTTACAGCTCCATCCAAGTCCCTAGTGGAGTGCCCCAAGGACAGGTTTCTGGGGCACTCCACTAGAGAAGTCCTTTACGTTAATGTTGTCTTATTAATGACTACTCCACTCATTCAACCAAATCATGCAGATGCTCTCTAAGGCCCTGGATAGCTCCAAATCTTGGAGCCTCTGATCTAGTCCAGTGGTTCCCTCCCTGTTTTATACGAAGGTCCCCTTTGCATGTTAGTAAATCGAGCACACGCTCACATGAAGGAGCTGTGGTCTTGCTTTCCTTTTCTACTCTCACTTCTGTGACTTGTCAGACCCAAGTACTCCTCCCTGGCCATCTCTCCCCTCTCTCTGTCATTTCCCCCGTTAATATCTAAGCTTCTTTTGTATATGTATCTTCAGTGCTTAGTAAAGTGCTAGGTCTACAGTAAGGGCTTAATACATTATTTTTCATTCTTTCATTCCCACTAGATATTTTTTTCTGAGCTAAATGAAGATCACAATGATCAGGCATGGGGTGTACATGGGTCTGTGGAACCCTTTCAGTAGCTCTGCATTCCCTTCCCCAAGGGATTCTGCGCTTACAGGTTGGCAACCACTCACCCAATCAAGCCCCTTCAGTTTGCAAATGAGGAAACTGAGGCCCAGAAAGGGGAGGTTACTTGACTAGAGCTTGGCCTTGAGACCAGCTCCTCTGACTCAAATGATTTTTTTCCACTGCTCCTTCATGCCTTCTTTGGTGTCAGAGCAGAACTACTCTCTACACTTATTGCCCACTGGTTGGCAAAAGTGACTCACTCCCAGAGGAATTAGCTCAGGTGTCCAAGTGACTCTGAGAAAAGAGGGCTATTCTTGTAATGGTGCAGCAATTTCTTCCTTTCTCCCTCCCTTTCTCCTCTCTCTCTCTCTCTCTCTCTCTCTCTCTCTCTCTCTCTCTCTCTCCTCTCTTTTCTGTCTCTTTCTTCTCTTTTCTCTCTCTTTCTCCCCTCTCTTTTCTTTATCTCCTCTCTTCTCTCTTTTCTCTCTTTCCTCTCATCTTTCCTCTCTCTCTCTCTCCTCTTTCCTCTCTGTCTCTCCCCCCTCTCTTTCCTCTCTCTCTCTCTTTCTCTCCCTGTCTCTGTCTCTCTCTGTCTCTCTGTCTCTCTCTTTTCCTCTCTCTCAGTCTCTCCTCTCTGTCTCTCTTCGTCTCTTTGTCTCTCTGTCTCTCTGTCCCCCTCTCCTCTCTTCTCTCTCTCCCTCTCTCTCTCTCTGTCTCTCTCTTCTCTCTGTCTCTGTCTCTCTCTCCCCTCTCTATCTTTTTCACTAAGTGCCAACAGTATCCTCCAACCTTATCTCAGGAGACAAGAGAAGAAACATGAAGTCTCTGCTCTCAAGTAGCTTATTTGGGAGAAAGGCTTCCAGATGTGTAACAGTATAATAAAAATAAAAGGGAGTATGATTAAGTGCTGAGGTCACATAGCCTCATGGAAAGGGCAATAGATTTAGAGTCCAAGGATCTGGGTTCAAATCCTGTCTCTACTACTGACTGCTCTCCTGCCTCTCCAAAGGACTTTCTCAACCATACCCCAGCCCCTCCCCATTGCTCTTTTCAGTCTTTTTTTCTGTGTCTTGTCTTCCCTCATTCTTTCCATTTGTGCACAATTCCTGGAATATAGTAAACGTTTCTTGATTTTTTATTTCGTTGGATTCTCAAAACAATCCGAGGAAGTAGGTGCTATATTACCTTCATTTTACAGATGAAGAAACTGAGACAAATAGCAGCTAAGTGACTAGGGTCATATAGCTAATAAGTGTCTGAGGCTGAATTTGAATTCAGGTCTTCTGGCCTCCAGGTTCAGTGCTCTATCTCAGATCCCTTTAGCTCTAAATCCATGATCCCATGATGGGAAGATCCTAAGTCTTTTTCCTTCTCCAGGTCTCAGTTTCCCCATCTATAAAATGGTGGTGGCAGCGGTGGTCGGTGTTAAGGGGAAGCCATGTCAGACTAGATGTTTTTGAAGGACCATTTCTGCTCACAGTTCCAGTGAGTAGGAGGGCCAGTGTGGATGGGAGAAATCAGATCAGGCGGCCTAGAAGAGGTGGATCTTAAACTGGGCCCTGAGCCAATGGAGGTGGCATTTGACTAGGTAGGAAGGGGGAGGTGGGAGGGAAAAGGGAAGGGAAACACTGTAGCGGAGGGGAGGGTGGGGCACTGTGAGCTGTTCTTACTTGGGAGAGGGCCATACTTCCTTGGAATGGCCTAGTCATCTGTGACTGCGGCTCGCTCGCCTTCATTGTCTCTTCCTGAGGTCTTGGCCATGGGACATCTTCTGGTGCTGCTCCTTTGAGATAGGAACCCTCCAACCCTGCCGGCTGGGAGGCGGGTGGGCAGGAAATCTTCTCTGAGGACTGCTCACCTCTCCACACTCACTCTGGAAATGGCCAATGTAGGTGTGCTTTTCTTCTCTTTCTCTAAGAGTCAGTTGGGGCAGAGGGCAGGCACCTTCTCCGGGCTAACCATGGGGCCGTCGGTTGGGATATTTGGGATGGAGAGAAGTCGGAGAAAATTTGGAGTCATACTCACTGGTGGACTTGCTCCCAAGCCCAGGATCTTAGACCTTAGAGCTGGAAGTGAGCTTGAAGGTCATCTAGGTCAAACTCCTCATTTGGCCAAGTCAGAAACAGGCTCAGGTTCAAGCTTGGGTCTTCTGACTTGCCGGCCAGGGTACTTCCATTGCCATGAAGTTGAAGTTGTGCGGCTTAGTAGCAAGAGCACTGGACTGGGGAGTTAGGAAACTTGGGTCCATAGTCTCTGTCATCTTGAACTAGTCCCATCCTGTCTCAGTGACTCAGTTTCCTCCTTTGTAAAGGAAGAGGAGGGGGTCAGTCTGTTCCAGCTGACGTGGCTGGGACACTGGAGGGTTCTGAAATTTCTATCTACCCTAGACTGGCCCCTGCCTGCATCCTCTCCTGGTAGGGGTGGCAGGCATTTGAGGAGTTCCAATGTGGGTGTTTTCTTTTTTTCCCCCTTGGGCTGTGAGGCTGGTTTGATAGCCTTTCTGACTGATTAAGAGGTCTAGAGGGAACACAAGAAATACCGAAGAGATGAGGAGCTGGCAAATACACAAACTGAAGTGTGGGCAGCTCAGGGCATCCAGCCACTCTGAGCCAGACCAACAGATGGGGGCTGGCAGAAGAGGGGAAGAGCTGGTTTGGACTTTCTTCTTCTTGGTCCTTGGCTCATAGCCTGAGTAAGAGAGGGTGAATCCTCCTATTGGTTCTAATTCTTACTTACAACATCACTAATGTGAAAATATGTTTAATAAGAATGTATATGTATAGCTTGTATTAGATAGCGTGCTGTCTTGGGGAGGGAGGTGAAGAGGGAGGGAGAGAAAAATTTTAAACTCAAAAGCTTATGGAAGTGATTGTTGATAAATCAAAATAAATTAATAAAAAAAGAGAGAGAGAGGGTGAGGGAGGTGCTGCTAACCTCCCTCAGCCTCAGTGTCTCTGTTTGTACTTTGAAACGTGAAAGGGTCTGTGACCTCACTGGCGGGGGCTCTGGTACTGATCAGAGTCACTTGCTAGCTGTGGGATATTCCACAAGTCACTCAATTTCTCAGAATCTCAGTTTCCTTCCCTGTAAAAACTGGGGATTGGATTCAGTGACCTCTAAGATCTTTTCTAACTATGATCCTGTTATCTTGTGAAATCGTTCTCCTGTGGTTCTGGTTTGTGTCTAACATGAGTCTTCCAGAGAGGAAGAGGAAGAGGAAGAATGCCCTGGAATCTCTAAGTGCATTGATAGGCTAGCATAGGCTAGGGAGCTAGGCTCACTCTGAGTGTGTGTGTGTGTGCGTGCATGTGTGCGTATGTGCATGTGCGAGCACGTGCATGTGTGTGTGTGTGCACGTGTGTGTGTGTGTGTGTGTGTTTCTTTGGTCCAGAAGGGTACAACCAGGGTGACCAATGGTCTTAAGTTCACTTTAGAGGATCATCAGTGCAAGGAGCTGGGGACGGTGAGCTCAGGGGGGCATCATGGCTGTCGATTAGACTTGCTCTGGTCCCAGAGGGGAGAACAGAAGGGAAGTTATAAGGAGCAGATGGAGCCTTGATAGAAGGATCACTTTTCTTTCTTCTGCAACAATTAGAACTCTTCAGAAGTGTCATGGCAGCCCCTGGAGAGGAAGTGTCTGCTACTCACTGGAGGACCTGAAGGACCACTTGCTGGGGGAGGTAGTGGGGCATCTTTTGGGGACACAGGGGGTCTAGGTGGGGGCTTAGCTATGAAGGCATAGAGGCATCTAGGTGGGGGCTCAGCCATGGAGGCATAGGGGGTCCAGTTGGCTGCTCAGCTGTGGGGGCACAGGGGGGCCTAGGTGGGGGCTCAGCCGTCAGGGCACAGGGGTCCAGTTGGCTGCTCAGCCGTGGGGGCACAGGGGGTCCAGTTGGCTGCTCAGCAGGCATTCTGTGATTTCTCCTTCCTAGCGTCCTTCCTCATAGATATGGATAACGTTATTTCTTGGAATGGATGCTAGATTCAGAGCCGGAGGACCTGAACTTGAATGTTGGCTCCGCCTCTAGCACCTGTTTGATTTTAAGAAAACCACTTAATCTTATTAGGCTTCAATTTCCCCAAGTGCTAAATAACAGTGGTACTAACAACTACAGTAATCAAGCTGATGATGGTAACTAGCATTTACATAGCACCCTAAGGTTTACAAAGAGCTTTACAAATATCTCATTTTGTCCTCACAACAACTCTGAGAGACAGATCCTGTTTTTATCCCCACTTTATAGATGAGGAAACTGAGGCAAACAGGGGTTAAGTGACTTGCCCAGGGCCATACGTCTAGTAAGTCTCTGAAGCTGAGTTTGAACTCAGGTCTTCCTGAGTCCAGGCGCAGCACTCTATTCATTCCTACCTTTCCAGACTTCTTGGACTTACTCCCTTCCTTCCTCCTTACCATCTGCCAAACAAGACAATCCATCTCCCTGCTGTGTGCCTACTATGTGCAGGGCACTATATTCCCTTCCCTGGTAGTAAACGTGTAAGGAATGCTTGTTGACTGACTGACTTAATGTCTGAGGTCTTTTTCAGTTCCAAATCCGTGATCAGAGGGTCCTGTTATTGTTGGCCTGTGGGGGCACGTGCTCAGACAAGGCAGTGGGGACTTCACTTTGTCCCCACATGGTCTCTCCCATGCCCCACCCGCCTCCCAGGTTTGGGGAGCTTTGCCTGAGGGAGGTAAGCCCGGCTGAGGGAATGTTACTTTCCTGCTCTGGGCCCAGGGAAAAACCAGCCTGTGTCTTCAACATGTGCCCAGCGTCTGTCTTTGCCAGGCTACTCGCTCTCTGGCAGAGTCCAGAAGGTTTTCTCTCCTGACCCAGCCCAGCCTGACCCTCCCCCGTTCCTGATGTAAGCCACGTGTCCGGAGGGGTTCAGGTCCTCTATGTAAGCTTGGTGCTACCTTAACGACCAGGGAAGTGGCCAAACTGGTCAGCTGTGCCCCCAGACCCGCAACATGTGGGAGGGGGCAAATAGTATCCATCTCAGAGCCTACCACAAGGGGCTATTCTCCTGCTCTCCTCCAGCCCTGTCCTCGGGCGGCCAGATGCCAGAGACCACTAGTAATGCCTCCTGTGGCTACCATGTAGACAGCCCATATGGACATGCCCTTCCTACATGGGCACATCCACCCACACACCTCTACACCAGGGCCAGTGGCCACATCCTTCCAGGCCTCCTTCCCTAGACCCACAGAGGGGTATTTCTGAGTCAGGAGCTGGATTTTTGGTCTTTTTCAGTGTAAGGAGTTCACGGCCCACACAGGCTATGAGACCCTTCTGCAGAGGCTGCTGGATGGGAGGAAGATGTGTAAGGATGTGGAGGACCTGCTGAAACAGAGGTGAGAAGGGCTGCGGGGCTGGGGAGGAAATGGCTCAAAGTCAATGCCAGGTTCACTGCCCAGGCCCGGAAGGTGTGGCTGCAGCTTCTGGCCCGGCCTGACCTCTTCAGCTTTTAACTGCTGACAGAAACAGGGGAAGGAAAATCCCTTCTAGCCACGGAGAGGGAGCCTCTCCTAGCCCTGGCCGGTGTATTGGAGCGGTCAGTAGATTTGAAGACTGGGGGAGGTGGGGTGCCAGGGACTCCAGGGCAGCCTTCCTGCCTGCCCACCTGCCCGCCTGCGCCCAGCAAGGCGGCATGGCATCGGAGGCACTGCATTACACGGCCAGACCCAGCCTGAGCTCATTTGCATCTCTACCACTTTATCTTTGGAAATGTAAATTAAGAGGACAGGGGAGGGGCAGGTCCTGAGGACCTGGGGAGTTTGTGAGGTTGAGAATGACAGTCTGGGCAGGTGCTTGTGAGTATAGGAGAGGTGTGCGTGCGTGTGTGTGTGCGTGTGTGTACCATCCAGCCTTAAACAGCCTGAGTGTGAATGAATCCCTGGGGATGAGGCCACTTGTCCGTGTGAATCTTTGTATGTTTGTGTGTGTGAAATAGTGAGGCTGTGAGTCCAGTGTTTGCATGTGCGTGTGCGTGACTGAGGGGGGAGCCCTGGGGTCAGACCTCAGCTCCATGTTCATGGGAATCCTTGCATATGAGAGTTTGTGACCTCAGGCAATCACTCCATTTCCCTGGCTCTGAGTTTCCTCGTATGAAAACTGGTGACAATAATACTCACAGTACATACCTTGCAGGAGCACTTGGGAATAATAATAATAATAACTAACCTTCATATAGTGATTTAAGGTTTGCAAAGTGCTTTTCATACATCGTCTCATTTAATTTACTCCTTACGAGGACTCTGTGAGGGAGGTGCTATTATATCCATATTATAGATGTAGAAACTGAGGCTGAAAGCAATTAAAGGTCACACAGCAAATGTCTGAGGCAGGATCTGAACTCAGGTCTTCAGGAGGCCTGGACTAGCCATGATGCCACCTCACCTTCAAACGCTGGAGAAATAGGAGTTATGATTCCTTATGAGAATGAGGCTCCTCAGAGGACCCCCATTCAAATCTTGGCTTAGTTGCTTCAACCGTGTGACCCAAGACAAGTCACTTTGTCTGTCGAGGCCTCCTTTTTCTCCTCCGTAAAGTGAGGGGGTTGGGCCAGGTAACTCCTGAGAGCCTTGCAGCTCTAAAGCTGTGGTCCTTGGGTGAGAGTTTGGGTGTGGGGCTCAGGGGTCTGTGCATAGGCATGCGTGTAGGTGTGTATGTGCCTGTGTGCATGTGTGTGTGTGAGAGACAGAGACGGAAAAAGGAGAGAGAGAGAGAGAGAGAGAGAGCCCGCGGGCCTCTGTATGTTGAGTCCACGTGTATTTATACAGCGATTTTTAGACTGTGTGGAGCTTCCCCGATGAAGGTAGTTGCAAGGGGAGGAGATGTTCAGAGGCATGTCAGTCACTTTCCCTTCTTGTTTTCTGAGCTGCAGAGGTAGCTCAGTCCTGGCTGGCTGGGTTCTCTCTCCCTCTCCACCGCCTGCCCCCCCCTCCCTATCTCTCTCTCTCCC